ACACACACACACACCACACACACACACACACACTCGCACCACACAGAGAGATGGAGGCTGAGATATGGAGGCGCTGGGGAGGGAGGGGGGAGAGAAGCAGAGAGACTTCAGGTTTTTGTCTGATGCTTTTTCACCGTGGGGACAGGGGGCCACGGTGATACAATCCTATAGAGCCGCTGTACAAAAACCTCCTCCATTAACAGCCCCTGTGTTCCTGCTGCAGGCTCCCTGTGGGGGAGGGGGGGGGGGGGGGGGGGGGCAGGACGGATATCAAGGGTTCAAAGTCACTGCTCACTTTGGCAGTAAAACACAATTCATGTGGACAAAATCTGCAGAAGAAATAGTTTTTAAATGATCTTATTATTTATATGTGGAGCATTAGAATGCCTCTCTTTCTCGTCTGGACAGAAACCTTGGACTTGATGACATTATGAATCCTGTCCTGCATGTCTGAGCCTTCCTCCTCCTCCGAGTCTCAACGTGCTGATTCTGGAGACTTTGGAGACTTTTTGGTCGAGGAGACTCTCAGTGTGACTCTGGAGCTGAAGCTTACTTTGGAAAGGGAACGAAAGTCACTGTTTTAGGTAAGTAGCTTCTCTCCCTGCTTCGGTGTCATGCTACAAACGTAACATCGTTTTAATGTTGGTGTGAAAGTGAAGGAAAACACTGTTGTTGTGAAAGAGTCTATATATTGACCTGAAGGGAGAACACTGTGAGCTACACTGATCCTGCTTACTTTGGACAAGGAACCAGACTCACATTTTAGGTAAATATTTCACTCTTTTATTCTACTATAAAATCAACATTGCTTTAAAGACTCAACAGAAGTATCGGTAAAAAAAAGACGAAGATAGTTCTGGTAGAGAAGACCTTGAGAGTTTCATGCTCAGTGTTTCTGCACTGTGACAATGCGAACCAGGCTTACTTTGGAAAAGGAACCAAACTGACGGTTTTGGGTAAGTCGATGATAGCTCAAATGTAACTAACTAAATATGTAAAGCTTTATGTGGAGCGTGAAGACACTTAATACGTTAAGTTGTGCTCAGAGCTTTTTGATATCAAGCTTCAGCTCTGTGCCAATTACGAAGCCTATTTCGGACAGGGAACCAAAGTGACTGTCCTCGGTGAGTAAGAGCTCTGCGTTTCTTCTCATGAATTCACCTGCTAGAGAAATGAAACGTGTTAAAGCAGGGATGTTTTTACAGCTTTAACAAAACATAAAACGTTTCTTTCATCTCACACACCAGATTAGTGTGGAGAAAAATGTTGGTTTAGGATTTAAAAATAAAACCCAATAAAGTACGTTTGAAAGTAACTAAAAGCAACATTGCAAAATAAAAGTGTTGTGCAGTTTTGAGCACGGATCAGGCTCACTGTGACTGGTGTTACTGAAGCTTCCTTCGGTGGGAGGAACTAAGCTAACAGTTTTGGGTAAGCAAGCAGAGTTTTTCTTTAACTAATGTCAACACTTAAAGTCTCGTTAGTTTTTTGTTCGGAAATGTTAAGCCTTATTTCGTCCAAGGAACAAACTGACTTTGTAAGTTAACATAAAGTCTAACAGGGTGGTAAAAATAAATGACTGTATGCATTCAACGCAGGCTGTAGTAATACAAGCAAGTTATTATGATCGGACACAAAAAGCAGGTTGTGCAGTTTTAGACACGGATCAGGTTCACTGTGACTCTGGTGGTGCTGAAGCTTCCTTCGGTGGAGGAACTAAGCTAACCGTTTTAGGTAAGACATCAACACAAATTCTAATAACAAATATTTTGTCTTAAGTTATAGCTTACTATTTGTGGTTTGTAAGCTTTAAATCTTAACATAAAAACCGCGACTGCTCTAGTAACATAAAGTCTAAACGGGTTATTGATGAGGTTCCTAAAATAATATTGTAAAGGAACAGGCTGCAGTTGTTGGTGAAAAGCAGGTCTAGCAGTTTTAGACACGGATCAGGTTCACCTGTGACTCTGGTGCTTCAGAGGCTTACTTCGGTGGAGGAACTAAGCTAACGGTTTTAGGTAAGAAATTACATTTGGAAAAGGTTACTGTGTCCAAAAGTGTAGCTCAAATCGTTTTGTTCTTAATCTTAAACACGAACGGAAAACATCATTTCAGAGAAACCAACGTCTCTACTCATATCAATTCGTATAGCATTGTTTTTGAGAGGTTCCTCTTAAACTCCTTGGAAAGAAAATAGGCTGTGGTTTGAAAAGTAAGTGGCATTTGTTATGAAAAAATGTTTTTAAAGTAACGCAGCATGTGGAGCAGTTTTAGACACTGATCAGGTTCACTGTGACTCAGAGCTCAGAGGCTTACTTCGGTGGAGGAACTAAGCTAACAGTTCTTGGTAAGAAAATGTTCAAACTTTATTAAATATTTATCAGTTTTACTTGAATTAATTTACATTTGTTCAGTATCTTTGCACTCAATGCAAACAAGCTTTCTTTGGGGTGAAGGAAGTCAAGAATGGTTCAAGATTTTCCATTTTCCTTTGCAAAGCTTTGTTTCAGGATCAATTCTTAATGTAATGTAATTATGTTAATAGATCATTAAATACTGTTAAGATATGATGTTGTGAAGACGTTTCTGACACTGCAAAGAAACTCTAAGGTTCGAAACAGACTAGTCACCAATGTGTTATACTACTAGATCAATTAAACAAAACATATCCACAGAAAGCATGGAGAGGTGATCAAAAAGCGACAATAAGTCCAGAAGGTTTGGACTTTATTGCAAAATATAAAATGTGTGCATGACAGAGAGAGACATAGTTATTAAGTGCAAGAGAGAGACAGAGAGGCAGCAGGGAGAGTTTGTGTGACAGTGGAAAGTCTCTGTGCTCATACTTCGAGGCGTACTTCGGAGCTGGGACTAAACTCACTGTTTTAGGTAAGAAACGCTGCAGGAGAAACGTCTCTCATCAGGATGATCACTTTATTTGCAGAAAGGAAGTAAGAAAAATGTAAAAATATGTTTTAAAACGTAGGTCGTAGGAAATTAAGTATTCTGCTTTTAAAAAGTGCGAAAAGACGTTATGGTGGAAGTTTGTGCCACGCTGTCTTTGCTGAGCAGTAAAACAGCACAGCAGTCAATCTTCTGGCTGAGCTCCAGATTATTTCTCTCACAGCGACATCTGAGAAACTCTGAGTTCAGTCAGGAGCGGCAACTAAACTCACCGGTTTAGAGGATATATAACAACTAGTCAGCACCAAGTTGTTTCTTACTTTCAGGCTGTACAAATAACTTCAATCAGGAACTAAACGATGTCAAGTTAAAGTAAGTATCTATACTTGAATGTGTGCATAATGGTTTAACTAACTGTAAAAACAGCGCAGACAGTAGCGAGGCTTCAGCGCAGCAGTTTTCCTGAAGCCTTGTTTCAGTGTGAACAACTACGACCCTGCTTACTTTGGCAGAGGCACCAAACTCACAGTGCTGGGTAAGAACAATTATAACAATCCTTCATATTCATGTTTATTATCTGGGCTTTTCTCAACTAAAATCTGAGCAGTATAGTTCAGGGTTGTTTTAATGTCTTGTTTGCTAATTTTCTGCAGCAGCATTGTGTTGCTTTGAGTCAAAACTGCAAAAGAAAATGTATAAATGAGATAGATCTATTTCCTCTTGAAAAGATGAAGTAAGAAGAAGATGTTTTAGCTTTAAAGGTGGGTTTTAGACATTTTCTCAGTTACTAACCAGATGGTTAATGTAGTTTTTCCCTTCCATGCATCAAAACGTGAAAGAAAATGGAGTCTATAAGTAAGGTCATGTAATATAATGATGTACTGCTTAGTGTAGAACCTACAAAAGCCCCAAAACAATCAAAAGTTGGAGGTAAATCCAGCCGCTGATAGTTTTTAACATGTGAGTCAGCGCTGTGCTCAGGCTCCTACCCTGCTGAATTTGGAGAAGGAACCAAACTAACTGTACTTGGTAAGATCTCTGCAATAACTTTAAAAAACAACAACATTTACGTGAAGAAAAACAAAGTTTACTTCTGCAACCTGTCGGGTTGTATGTGACATTTCTGTTCAGTGCCTCTTTGTACCCTGATGTTCTGGTCTAGATTCTTGCATTAACATTTTTTATCTATGTCCAGCTTTCATTGAGTGATTTCTGTCCATGTTTTATAACCGTTAGTGCGATAGAGACTTGTTAATATTTGAAGTTGTTGGATTGTTAAGCACCTGCCCGTTAGCTACATCTGATACATGTTATGCCTGGTTTGTTTAATAATGCATTTACAACATTCTCTGCAACATTTATCTTATTGTATTTATTTGTTGACATGTATATCGTTGACTTCATCCGGATCAATTGCACATCGGTGATAATCTCGCACTATTCTATTCTTTTTGAATTAGTTTGATGTCTTATATTGATGTTGCATTGTTGGAGGAGCTTGGGACTTAGAGATTGTCATATCTACACTGAAGCTACTGCATAGATGATGAAGCCTTTGAATCTTGAGTAAATGGGGTTTTATATTCTGTCTAAAATGTTTTGACATCATGTATGAAGGTTTTCAGTCTGTGGCTGATATGCTTCTATTGTCTCGTGCTTTTACATTCCTTTCTTCTTGTCCTATCGGTTTGGTCTAAATGTATTTATGCTGCTTTGTTATATACTGTATACATTGATGTACAGCACTTGGGTCAACTCTGTTGTTTTTAAATGTGCCATATAAATGAAGTTGGATTGGAATAAAGTCATCATTTTATTACTTTTGACTTTGTCTCTGCAGAACCAGGCCATGATGTCTCTGCACCGACAGTCACAGTGTTCCCTCCGTCAGCAAAGGAGTGCAGGAACCAGAGAGACCGTGAGAGGAAGAAGACCCTGGTGTGTGTGGCCAGCGGATTCTACCCGGACCACGTCAGTGTGTCCTGGCAGGTGGGCGGGGGGGGCCGTCAGCAGCGGGGTGGCCACCGACAGCAGCGCCCTACGGGAAGACAAGGATCAGACCTACAGGATCAGCAGCAGGCTGAGGGTCTCGGCCTCAGACTGGTTCACACCGGACCGGAAGTTCACCTGCAGCGTCAGCTTCTTCAACGGGACACACACCAGCCACCATGAAAACACGGTGGAGGGGGTCGAAGGGTGAGGCATTCAAGTACTAAAAGGAATGAGTTTTTATTAAAAGGACATCCTCTGTCCCGTCTAATCACACAGAGAACGAAAGCGGTATACAAACAGATGTATCCCAGCAGCTATTGCACAAATTAACAAATCATAGGAGCGTCACACAGATGCCTATTTATTTATTTATCTAGGCCTAATTATGAATTTTGAATGTCCATGTTTGTACTAGTGTTTTTCTTTTTAAACGTTTTTAAATATTTTGAGACGGAGCAGAGTGTACTTTTATTAGAGATGTGTCTGTGTTTGTTTTTAGAGTGTGTCAGGATGGATCCCTTGTCTTTTTATCTGCAAACTAAACCTACCTACGGGTATAAAGAACCTGAACCTGATCCATGTTGTTCTCCTTTCAGGTTCACAGGTAGCCATGACCAGAGGTAACTATACTATTCTGTAGCTCATTCAGTGCTTTTAGAAACACAAATATACAAGGGCGTCACTTTGTGCGTAAAGAGTGGTGGGGACATCAGGGGGTCACATCGTTACAAAAAGATCTCATAAGGCAATGTGAGGGGGGGTGGGGGGTGTGTGAGGTCAGAGTACATGGTTACCAAGATCAGGGGGAAACAGGAAACTATCAACAAACAAACAAAAGGAATAAACGAGAGGTTAAATCCTTTTGTAACTAAAGCACACTGACTGGTTTGGATTCTTTAAGTGAACATATCGACATTATATTTGTTGTGTTGAGAATCTATTTTGATCAATTTAATGTAAGAAATATTCAAAGTCACTGATCAGTGCACGAGTGAGTGAGCCGGGGGGGGGGGGGGTCTTTGTATCTTCTTTCTTTCAACATTTCTTGGTGCAATCTTTTTACAACAACTTGTTTTTTATTGTTGAAGTTTGTAATTGTTACTGTGAGGGTCTAAGGACAGAGAGTCCGTACACACTTTAAATCCTCCTGAGATAAACGTGAAGTCTTTGGAAGAAATTCAATGTGAAAAAAATAGCAACAAAATAAGCCTTTTCTCCAAAGTGTAAATGACACACATGCAGTAGGCTAGTACTCATGTATAATATCAACCACAGTGCCATGTGTCTCTTCTTCATGTCTCTAAATATCTAAATGTTCCTTCAGAGAAATACTTGAAGACGACCCAGGCGGCCAAACTGTCGTACGTTGTGTTCATCGTGAAGAGCAGCGTCTACGGCGCCGGCGTGGCCTTCCTGCTGTGGAGGCTGCAGGTTGGTTCACTTCTGGATTCATAAAACAGGCATTCAAATATGTGAATAAATGTAACTTAAAAACACTCCTCCTGTCGGTGTGTTGCAGGGATCAGCGGGGAAGCAGAACAACTGAGAGCCGAGGCCGGAGAAAATAGATCCAGGGCATCAGTAATGCGTCTGTGAATCAAAAAGTGTGAGAACATTGAAGTTATATAACCACAGGTCTGCCTGCCTTTCTTCCCATTCAATCCATATTCCTGTTAAAGCTATATGACATTGAAATACTTCAACATTATAAATTGTTCTTATGCTGATTCTGTGTTTTTGTATCGCTTGTTCGCTTAATTTTCTACTCAATAAAACTCTTTCATTCCATCAATCATGTGCTTTCATTTCTCTATAAGACTGTTATTACATGACTCTCATTAAGGCGCACCATTAAGTGACATGTTGCTGAAATCACAATATGGACCAGTGCGATATACAGGTAGCACAATGTACACACATATTGTAGGAGCACAGAAACAGTGTTCAAATTCTGCTTTCACACACTTATTTTGGTTGTGCGTACCTGGCAAAGGAATGTTATAAGTGGCAAAGGAATGTTTTAATGTAAATACATTCGCACAATAAAAGCTAAATATGTGTTTGTTACGTCCCAACTAGGGGAAGAGGAAAGCAGCATACACCAGTTGGACTTGGTAATAATTATAAATAGTTGTATTGTATCGCAGAACAAAATGGAAGGCACGCAGCCTGAACAAACAAAAGGGCGTGGGTTTGAACGGCAACCAACAAAGGAAGGACTCTAATAACGGAGCCGACTGACATACAAAGAAATAGGTACTAAAGAAACACATAGCAACAAAACAACCCATTAGCAAAAATACCATTTTTAATGAAGTCATTTGAAGCTACAGACTTAAAACACAATCACACCGTATATTTGTTTCAATATATCAATAATGAGTTATAATTAAATAATTATCAATCCCTCCACTATTATGTCTCATATTGCAATAAAAACAATTGCAATACGTGTTCATGATGTTTCCAGAGGGTAAACGTTATTTATATTCAGTGTATCTCTAAACAGGTATGCGTAATGTCATAACGGTGGATTTAAATACACAAAATAACAGATACTTTCGGCAGTTGACCTAAATGATTGATTTGATATAAACGTCTCTCACTGATCGTCACTTTTTCCACAGGAGTATTTTTAGCTGCTCGCCTCTTTTCTGAGAAGTCACTCGTCTCTCAGCGACATCAGGTGGAAACATCTCATCTGGTCTGAGAGGTGACTAACTCCAGTGACATTTGATTATATGTCATTGTTTGTTTTATTTATACATTTTAAGGAGTTCATTTGACATTATTCAAGTTGATGAAGTGAAGTTGGTGAGACTCTACAGACAAAGAACATAGTTTATTTGTGCAATGGTACATTTTAAGATTCATTTGAAGGTTGAAATAATATAATAAATATATTTCTGACTAAATGTTCACCAAACAAATTGCTTCCATACAGATACAAGTATTACTGCATGTACAAGCTGATATTTTGGGCTATTTCTCTTCAAAATCCACATTTAGGAGTTTATTTTATTAACTTTGTCTATTTGTGTCAGCAGATTTCTCCTAAATTCACCCAAAGTTAGCATCACATAATGCCTCATTAGCATATTTAAACATAACATGTCAGAAAACTTGTATTGTAAAAAATAACGGTGGTAATGTCAGTAATGAAGTGGGGAAGGTTCATGGTGATGATATCTAAAGCGGTTTACATTCTCTCGATGAACAAAGACGTTTTTCCTTCAGTTCAAACAGTGTCAGTATGACAGGAAGTGTGTGTGTGTGTGTGTGTGTGTGTGTGTGTGTGTGTGTGTGTGTGTGTGTGTGTGTGTGTGTGTGTGTGTGTGTGTGTGTGTGTGTGTGGTGCAGCAGGTGGAGGTGTTGTTGTGCAGAGAGCAGAGACAGGAAGTGGTCACAGAGCAGCAGATCTGAAACCTCCGTCTGCAGGAACACACAGCTGCACTTCCTGTGTAACTGAACACACACAGCTCCATCAGGCTGCTTTGGAAAACAGCTGTTCATGTCCTCTGCTGCACACATATGTAGGTTAATATATAGAGCATGTTTAAAAGCACAAGTTAAAGTGAGCAGCACGACATCCTGTAGGGCACGTGTCAAACTCAAGGCCCGGGGGCCAAATCAGGCCCTTGGTGGATTTAATTTCGGCCCGCAGGATCATTTCTAATGACTATTAGATCTGGCCCTCCGGTATATTGCACGCACACCTTCACTCCATCCTGAGGGTCTCCTCCGCTCAGAGCCTGAGCCCAAACATTGATGACCTTGCACCCAAGATGAGACGCCAAGTATCTGAACTAGCATCACAGAGCAGCACACTGAGTTTAAAGGATGCTTCCTTCTGCACTTTCTCTCTCATGACAACAGGGCATGTTTGGTTTGTTCTTTGAGGGAAATAGTTTTGTTGAAGCTGTTGTTGGCCTGTGGGAAAATGTACTCATAAGAAATGACTGAGGAAAAGCTGCAGATAGAGCCATAAGAAATGAATGCAGCTAATTATTTAATGTTGTTTTTATAGGCAATAATTTAAGCTTTGTTAGTTCCAGGTTTAATATGTGCAATAAGTTCATTTCAATAAGTTCTGCAATAAACATTGAACCAGTCCGGCCCTCCACTAGTACCCATTTTTTAATGTTGGCCCACTGTGTGTTTGAGTTTGACCCCCCTGCTGTAGGGAGTCAAATGAAATAAAAAATGGCAATGGAAAAAGACAAGACATTATATCATAAGAACACATCAGAACATAAACATGTTGGATAAATGTATGAAGAATTAAATCATAATCAAATAATGTAAAATACTAGAATGTTAAAAGCACTAAGAGGAAACTAAATCCCCAAATATATAGGTTTGAATTTAGATTTCTAATCATTTATTTGGCAGAGAATGAGAGGATGCAGATTCAACTTGTACTGAATGCGTCTGTCTGAACCGTCTAATCAATCGTGGTGGAGGAAGTATTAACGTTTTTTACTCGAGTAAAAGGTAGTATAATTACTTTGCTACAAATTGAAGTGTGCAAGTAACTCAAGTTATATAAATGTTGTAGGTCTCGGTGAAGGTGGTCTTGACTACAACACTAGTAAACCATGTTTGCCTCTGATATTAGTAGTGTACAAGCATAAAGTAGCAGAAGGAGTGAACTGTGTGAAGTATACCCGACTAAATACTTGGTTACTTTTCAACCTGTAAATATAGACTTTCAGTTAAAACCACAACACACAAACGCTCTATTTTCTCAGTGTGTCTTAAAAAACATCCTAGTGATCACTGGAGTCACAAACAGGAAAGTGTGTGTGTGTGTGTGTGTGTGTGTGTGTGTGTGTGTGTGTGTGTGTGTGTGTGTGAGAGACCTCAACAGAAACTGGTCTAACATCTGTCAGCTGATCATCCTCTCGCTGCTGCAAATACTCATGTTTAGTCCTTTATAATCTGCTTTCATCAAACAAGTTCACCTTAAAATCCCTTTCATCACATAAACAATAAAGCCTCCAACACCAAACTTACCTTTATATATACACATAAATATATACACGATATATAAAACTAATATGTGCCATTTTACGAGTAGCTTCTTACATTAAGTGACAAAGTGTTTTTCAAACTTGTCCTTTAACCTTGATAAGAAATGTGTTTTTGAAAGTGTCTTTTGATATTTTACGAACAACATATCTGCAAACAAATAGTATCAAAAACATGCTCAAGTCATGCCATGTGTCAGTGTGAACGTATATGAACTGTGTTTTCTGTTATTTGATCTGGTAACATGTGGAAGTAAAGTCTTACCTTACCAAAGCTTCTGCTGGGTGATAGATCCTCAAACTATGAGCTTTTTAATGAATGAAAAACAGCCTGAACGCTCTGAGAGAAATGCATCTTTCCATTGAATTATCAGTGTGCCTCACCAGCTGCCTGATGGTCCTGACACACCTGAGCTGAGGAAACACACCTGAGCTGCTGATGATCTGAGGAGAGGACTCTCATAGTGGAAATACTCTGCGACAAGTCAAAGTACTGCATTTCAAATCCAACTTAAGTCATGTGCAAAAGTTTTAGCTTCAGAATAAATGTAATGTACCAAGTGTGCTAATTACCGAATAACATATATGATTTTTTTTATTTTAAAAATATTCATTTACTACCTTAAGTATAGCCCAGAGCCATATAGCCTATAACAGGGGTGGCCAACCTGCGGCTCTCGAGCCGCATGCGGCTCTTTGCCTAGTTTCATGCGGCTCTTCAGTTCATATTGAATTGTATATGTGTGAGTTTGGGGGAGAGACACTGACTCCTGACTAGTGGTGCACGGTGTACCGATACTTGAAAGGTATACGCGATACCCTGCCGTTAAAAACGTTACGATTCCTCCGTTTAAGAATGACGGCGGAAAGTACTCCGGTGAGAAAGCGCCGTTTAAAATAAGAGCTGTGTGTGTTCAGCGCTCTGCTTCCACTCCCTGCACTGCAGCCGTGCCTGCAGTCCCGCCCCTCTCAAGCACGCTCAAGTGCCTCCCCGCTCTCGTGCACGCGCTAGCTGCCAGAGCATGTGAGAAAACGAGAAGTATGGCTGCAAGTGGGAGTGCAGCTGCCGCTGCGCCTCGGCTTGTTGACAAAAAAGACGCCAGAAGCTAAATGTGGAAGTATTTTAGCTATATCTCTGACAGTGAGGGCAAGCCTACGGACACCACGAGGCCTGTCTGTAAGAAATGTATTAATTTTATTTAATACGAATTCTTGTCATTTATTGTATTTATTGTTCTCATTGTTTAAAAGTTTGTGTTATGGTTATGGTTCTGGTGTGAAATAAAGCACAATAATTACATTTAAGACTGTTTCCCTTTTTTTAAGAAAAGTATCGAAAAATAATCGGAATCGCAATTCTTGACTTGGTATCGAAACCAAAATGTTGGTATCGTGACAACACTAGCTACTCCTGACAGTTAAACCTGATATTTAGTAGGTCTGTTAAGTATTGAATGCTGATAATTCTGACGTAATTTGGCCGGTCAAAGTTGTTTGGGCTCGGATAAAATTGCTCCGTTACTTTCGTTCCGTGTTACTTTCGTTCCGTGTTACTTTCGTCCCGTGTTACTTTCGTCCCGGCTCTCCCTACGTGTGTATGTGTGGTGTCAGGTGTCAGTATGAGAGGATGACAGCGCGTCTAATTTTGATGTGGCCCAAGAGCCAATCACAATAATACCTGCGATGCAGTGAACCAATCACTTTTTGAGTGGGGGAAAACCTATGATTAAACACTACTATCCAGTGTTTCCCCTACCATTGTTTTGGAGGGGCGCTGCACCCCGCCAACGGAGCCCCGCGCCCCCCCTGAAATTCAAGGTGTTTAAAAAATATATATAATTTTTTTTTAAATATATTGCACCAAATTGCAAATAATCTATAACTACTGTCACTTTCACATTGAACATGTGCTCTTTTATTAAATAAACTAAACGCTTTCATTTGAAGTTGTGAGTTTAGTGTTTTTGACCCTAAGAAACACTGATGCATTAATCAATAACAATAATCCACAGCTCCTCTCTGCTCCAGAGGATTTAAAAAATATATATCCCAATGCCACAAAAATGCATCAGTGACGTGGTTGAAATCTTGTCTCCAGAAAACAAAAAACTGAAACAAGCGGTATCAGTGACTGTGTGTTTGATGTGGCTCTTTGCAGTAACATAGAAAAAATGTGGCTCTTAACCTCTGACTGGTTGGCCACCCCTGGCCTATAACATCATTCATTAGTTGACTTTTAGATTGTTTTAAGAATCAATATTTTAAACAATATTTCCCTTTGTCTTAATAATAATAATTACGAAGTAGCAGGAATTGGAGAATACTCAAGTACCTTAAAAGTGTACTTAAGTTCAGTACCTAAAGTAACAATACTCTCCACCATGGCTGATATTTAAGTAAAAAGGAGAACATGCGAGAGAAAAACACGGCATAAAGACATATAATACATTAAAACACCAGCATGCCTCAGTACAAATACACTTGAAATATATTAAGGTAAGTCATGTAATCCAAAAGATGTCATTTATTAATTTGCAGGTAACAAACGTTAGCAAGTATATAACTTACTTTGTCACGTTGAGCGCCCCCTTGTGTCGCCCACAGCAACATCACGCCACACATGAACACAAACCAGCAGGAGTTTTTATTAAAATATTATTTTATTATCAAATAATTACATAAAAATAAAACTAAAAATACAAGCCGTTATCAGTGAAACTTCAAAAAGAGCAGTGGTCAAAAGAACAGACAGCTGGAGGGAATACATGTAATAATCCTCTAGAAAACAGAGAACATGTGGAGTGAATAACTTATTTCAGAGAGGAGGAAAGTTTCAACAGACTTTTACATTCACACACATTTAATTTAAAGCCACATTTAGTTATTTAATCATTAAAAATGTATGTCCTGCCGAGGGCTTTGCACCTACGTAAATGAGACTCTACTGAAATACCAGATTTATGAATGGAACGGTATATTTGGAAAGAATAAAAACAAGGAAGATGATGATTGTGCAAACTGTGATATAAATACTATGTGACTCCAAATAACGAATAAAAAAAAAGAAAATATACGTTTTTATATTCAGTGTTTTTGCAGCAGTGTACGAACAGACTCCCTGAACTTTGAAAACAGTAATCCGTCCCTTCTTCTCCTCTCATGTGATCTGCGTTAGCTGCAGATAGCAGTGTTTCGTTAAGTCCCTTTTAGCAGAAGTTCAGTGTTTTTAAAAAGCAGTCCTCCCCTCCTCTTCATCCCTCAGTGTTTCTCTACCAGAGCCTCTCCCCCATCCTCTTCCTCAGCGAGTGGCGGGTGCAGCTGGCGCAGCAGAAGCTGGAGTAATACGAGTTGGAGCAGAGCCGGGCGTAGACGATCAGATCGCAGTTAGCGAGATCCGGCTGGTCCACACACTCCGGAGGGGCGTCCTCATCTGCAGCGGAGACAGAGACGTTTAGCTCGATGAACATCTCTGATATACTCATTGTGTGTCAAAGTCAACTTTATTGTCAATCTCAAAATATGTTTGTACACACAGAAAGATCGAAATACTGTTTCCCACAGTCCCGAGGTAGACTGTAAAGACTGACACCGATTTTACAAGAGGGTTTCGCTTCATACGGTGCAGACAGCCATGACAACTGGAGGATAGCCAGTTATGGAAAGTGTATTTTGGGTTTTCCCATCCTTCCATGAAGTAAAACATATTTACAGTGAACAATCAAAACTATGAACACTTAAGGCCCTCCACCTTTTTTACAATTTCTTTCGCCATGTTTGGTGTTTAGGGCTTACAGTTCCACCGAATCATCTTCACCTTCACGTTTATATGTATAAAGAACATATCCTCCAAGATTACAAAAATATCTTTATCTACATACAAAGTTTCATAAATCCCAACAGACAGAACGTCGTGTGGTGTTTCTGCAAAGTCAATTAGGGATCTAAGCCAGACAAGATCAGTGTTTTACATGTAGTTTTTGTTTGTTTGTTCTCCTGCATGGCATAACAAACAAACAAGGGTTGGCGCAGTGGGCTGTGCGTTTGATCATCAGATCAAGGGGCGTTGGGGAACTCCAGTTCGAAACCCGCTTCCGCCGCCACTGCGTCAGGCCGTTGTGTCCTTGGGCAAGACACTTCACCTGAATTTGCTCCTGGCACTCCACAGTACATGTATGATATCAATGTGTACTTGTAAAGCGCCTCGATGACTTTGAGGTGTGAAGATGGGCGGTGTGGCGCAGTGGGCTGTGCATTGACCAAGGGGGCGAAACCAACACATCCTCACTCCCAGGTCGGCCTATGTTGACGTTATTTCAAGTCCCCTGTGTCGGCTTTTTCCAACGCAAGGGGGGGGGGGCCTTAGCGTCCATTTTCAACGCAAGGGGGGGGGGGCCTTAGCGTCCATTTTCAGCTTTCCGGGATGTCCATATGCTTCTATGGACGCTCATGGAAGCACGGCATTCGTTTGTGTCGGCTGCCCTTAAAGGCAATGTGAGCGTCCATTCTCATTGGATAACGGAGAATTGTACACCCGGAAGTAAGTATTCCCCTTACTGTCGATTGATTTTACAGTGATATCTGCACTACTCATCGACTAAAAAACACCAGATTATCCTTATTAATTACACAACATTGATTGGTTTAAATTGTGTGCAATGCTTTTGTATTTTTCCCCTTCGATTCGGAGAAACAAATATTTAGAGTAAAGGATGGCAGAAGACACTACACTACCCAGAATCCCCAGCTATCGTTTGGACTACACCATGTGCTCTGTTTGACGTCACGTGATCTTCAAATTTCTCCCTGCAGAAAAAAAAAAACATGGCCGAACTTCGTTTTATTCTCTGTGGAAAATGCCTATTTTAAAGTTAGTTTGGCCATTAAAATGCGTTTTGATGTCATTTGATGCGAGAAATATGAGTTGTTATTTCAGATTATGTGTGCAGTGGATGTACATGATCTTTAGTTTGCTAGTTATTACGAAGATTACTTCAGGAAATTGCGTCCATAGAACGTTTTCATTGTTACCAAGGTGGTTGCTAGGGACGCTGCTATCGATATTATTTCTGTTATGTTGTGGAACTGTTTAATGGTGTTATCTTTATTGCTACCCCCTTCCCCGTCAATGTATAGTGTTGGTCCACAGCGCAAACATATTAGTTTAACAAAATCCGCATCTAAAGATAACCTACGTTATTTCCCCCTGTGCAATTCCAGTCTCACATCTCACAGCACATCGTCATTAACAAATACCGGAAACAGACCGAAAACATTTAAAAAAAATACAATAATACTTTATTCCGAGTGTGCTTGATTTTCTCTTTGGAAGTCATCACATAACGGCATTGTAATACACGGTTCGGCTGCATTAAATATTACATATCTGCCGTAGTTCTGTATTTATAGAGCCCTGATGAGAAGACTTCTAGACAAACATGAGGAACTGAAAACGTGATGTGGGTCATAAATATATCAGCAATTAAACAACATCTTACATTTCTTTTCACACAATACGTCTCCTTGCAGTATCAACACTAATTCGGCTGACTTTTATATTTGATCCAATTGGTAGATAGGCTGTATTTACACCATAAAGGTGCACAGCTGATATAAAGGGACACCTAGTGGTTAAAGCACGTTATTGAATTTCATTATTTTCATTATTAGATATGAATAGGATCCCTATCAAGTATGTTCATTACTCATTATTCTCTACTAATAGTTAATTAAAGACTGTATATAATGACTATTTTGCACATCCCTTTCAAGATTTTCTAAGGTTTATTGACATATCATATAGGCCTACACAACTATGGTGTAGTTATGCATTGAATGAAAAACTTGGGTCGCAGGTTCCTCAATAGTGCATTACAAGACATCTATCAATATTTGTGCATACCTCCAGCAATGTTAACTATGTTGAAGCACTTATTTTAACTGATATTATACATAATGTATTATACTCTTATAAGATGTATGTAGATATTTCATCTCCGGCCTTGTCAGGTATTGAACAATCAATAAATAAAGAACACAGAATTTGTGTGATTATACTAAATGATTTACAAATAAACACGAACACCACTGCATATTTAACTGTTACACATGCTGATGTAACGCAAATGTTCCAACTTGGGATCAATAAAGTATATCTTATCTTAAGCTGATCGATGGACGCGGTGGACCCGTTCAAATCCAATTTTGGACAGTCTGCCGTGGTTCCATCCTATTTCAAGTGCTGTTCGAGGCTCGGCGTAACCCTCGGAGCACACTCTCCAATCACAGAGCTTGAGGACTATCACGGGGTTTGTCAAACAGAGCACATGGTGTAGTCCTAAACGATAGCTGGGGATTCTGGGTAGTGTAGTGTCTTCTGCTATCCTTTACTCCGAAAAAACATTTGTTTCTCCGAATCGAAGGGGAAAAATACAAAAGCATTGCACACAATTTAAACCAATCAATGTTGTGGAGGTTCCCCACCCCTGCTTTAATATAATAACATTAGTATTAATATCATAACCAAAATGTCGGTGATTAACATTTTGTTTACCTAATACAGACTGATCACTCAATGCTTCAAACTGTCCATCATCCTAAATAGACTAAAAGCAGTTTTTTGTTTTATATAGATCATTGGCTGTGTGGGAAAATACTGTGTTTGAAATTAGATGTTAGCTTTTTGTTATATATATATTTTGTATTCCAGTCTCCCTTCAGATATGTTAAGTGACATGTCATTCAACACAATGCTGCTCACCTCCTTCAGTTGGGAGAAAAGCTGGTTCTGGTTCAGGTTCAGCCTTATGGGGGGACAGGGCTGCTGAGCCTAAAGATGGATCTGTTGGTCCTGGCACCAGGGGGAGGGACAACTGATTTAGTATGAATAGGCGCTAAAAATGTGCCTGCATGTATTAAAGGTAGGGTAGGTAAGAATGGAGAAACCAGCTCGAGTGCGCTAGAATTTGAAAATTATGGAAGCAAACAAGAGACAGAAGAATTCGAATTGTATTAGACACCGAATTTATAGCATTGAAAATAATTACTTTGAAAATCATGTATCTGAATGTTTTTGCTCCGAATTTACCTATGTGAAATAAAAATGTAAAAATTCAAGTGAAAAAAATTCGAATGTTCAAATTCAGATCCCAAAAATTCGACGTCAAAAAATTCGATGTCAAAAAATTCGATGTCAAAAATTGCGATGCAGCATCATCCGGGCTACTCAGACAGGATAAGCAATCGAGCCCTAATGCAACTCCGACTTCTGGCCTATCAGAGCACGGCTTTGTCAGTCATGTGATCACAACAACCCGGGAGAAAAATGACGGAGAACAGCGGGGCTCGCCGCTCGGGTAAGTAGTCAGTTTGTGCTCTTTATCTTACAAGCAGTGAGGGCTCGACAGCATTTGTATCTTACATTAGCTAAATGAGTGAAGTAGCCTTGTGCCTTGCTGTTAGCAAGCTCCGTAATTATCATTAATTGAAGTGAATCACAACGTTACCGTGTCCTTTTGTGTGTGTGTGTGTGTGTGGGGGGGGGGGACGGTTTGCAAAGTAACGTAACGATCACTTCGGTTAGATAAGTCAAGTAGACCATGCTACACTATACGAAATACTCTCTTACAAAAGCCCTGCATTTAAACATGTTAATGTTACTTTAGTAAAAGTATGCTAGTATAATTAGCAACAAGTGTTGTTAGAGTATTTAAAGTAGACACAAGTTATTCTATCATTTGATTTATTGTTATTACCGATGCACGAGTTGACTTAACTGTTGTAGTTGGAGCTCATTTGAACAATGAGCTAACTAATTATTACTTTCATAATGGTGTAATGTGCCAACTATTTTCTACATTAATAGATGAAGGTCTGGTTTGTTCAAAGTCTCAAACTAGTAGGACCAGAGCCCGAGAGTCTCTAGGGCTCTGAGTAGGACATGCTGTCATAATTACCCAGAGTCCGAAGTGACACCTTTACAATGTTAAAGCTGTTGGATAAATGTAGTGACGTAAAAACTAAAGTATTCAAGATAGTGTAGTGGAAAAGAGATAATGTTTTTTTTTTTTAAATGTTACCAAAACAAAATCTCTTGTTTTGGACTGACAGTAATGATTCAAGAAATAGTAGATAAATAAATACACACACATCAATGTGTTGTGGATGGAACACAACAAATGGTGCTCTTACCTGTGATGCCTCCTCCACACATTATAACCAGACTGTATCATTCAAACTATAAGTAACAGTTCTAGCTACTTGACTTCAGACAAACAATTCAAAAGACAAAATCAACACAATGTATTGAAAGACCAATCTTTATTTCTCTCCTTTTGTTTGTGTTATTAAACCCTGTCAATCTAAAAAACTGAGCAACTCAACAGTTAACTTTATATTTCTTATTGTCCAAAGCATCTATTACACTATTTGTTCCCCTCTCATATTCACAGGATGGATGATTAGAGACTTTGGGGGAAACCTCAGCTTTATGAACGCTCAACTCTGTTGCTTTGGCCAGAGAGGGCTGAGGGTCTTTCCCTGCGAGGAGTCCTCCTCGCAGGGAAAGACCCTGCAGACCTGATGGAGGACGACCTGCACCAGCTGCACCTACAGAACTTAGCCCATGCTGGACATAGCTGTTACCACCTGCACAGGCCTAGCCTGTCAATTAACAGATTAACATTTAGTGTAACTTATGTATATTATTTCGTTTTTATTTTTTTTTTAAAATGGTGATGGTTCATGCTTGATAACTTTTAGTTCACATTTCAATAAATTGTATTTGCACTCCTTTTGTCCGTTATCCTTACTGAAAATGTTAAATTACACATTCACATCTGACTGAAGATTGGTACCATTTATTTATGACGTTCCAAACTCGGCGGCACAAGGCACAAGTGATGTGAAGCTCAAAGTGCAAATGCATTTGATCAGCTGACTTTTTTTTTGCCAAACTTTATAGGCCTGACAGTAATCACACTGTCTCTGTGCAACGTAAAACACAAAACAACACAAATGAAGTTCCTGTTAGACTACAAAACTAGTCAGTGTGCAGGTCTTTGTGTTACAATACAAGTGTCTCTTAGTGAATGTCCTGTACTGCTCTTAAATCTCATCACATCAGCTTTTCCTTTCCCTCTTGGATGTTCTTCTGGACCCTCAGAGAAAGAGAACATGGTGAAGCAGTCCTGTCTCTCAGGCGTGTCCTTTCCTAACAGAAATATCAAAAAACATATTATTGCAGAGCAAGTGTGTTATTTAAGAAAGAGGTTTGTTTGTTCATAAATATAATGATTTTTTATTTGAATGTGTTTTTTAAATCCAACAGTGTACTACAAAGATAATCAGATTAGGAATAAACCGTTCTAAATTCATCAACATTGAAATAAATGTATTATTAAAATAATATTTAACTGTTATCAAAACTTAGTGCAACTGTGGACGCTTGCTCTGTTCGGTTGTCTCACTGAAAGACAAAGGGTCGCAGCTCTCACTATGTGATGTTGCTTGGTAAAATGTAAATGTAACCTTTTGCTAAGAAAGTACACTCAACATCACTGATGTGTAGGTGATCTAGTATTCAGTCATGTTTAATGGCATGTCTATCAGTGTATTGGAGTCATTACTTTATGCATTCTTTGTAAAGCATGAAAAAGGTGTACCTTGGAATCCGTGCTGAAGTTCTCTGCTGCTAGGACTCCAGATCTGTCTCTCCTCCTCTGGTCCAGATCTGTCTCTCCTCCTCTGGTCCAGGTCTGTCTCTCCTCCTCTGGTCCAGGTCTGTCTCTCCTCCTCTGGTCCAGGTCTGTCTCTCCTCCTCTAGTCCAGGTCTGTCTCTCCTCCTCTGGTCCAGATCTGTCTCTCCTCCTCTGGTCCAGGTCTGTCTCTCCTCCTCTGGTCCAGGTCTGTCTCTCCTCCTCTGGTCCAGGTCTGTCTCTCCTCCTCTGGTCCAGATCTGTCTCTCCTCCTCTGGTCCAGGTCTGTCTCTCCTCCTCTGGTCCAGATCTGTCTCTCCTCCTCTGGTCCAGGTCTGTCTCTCCTCCTCTGGTCCAGCCTGTCTGGATCACCTTAAGGAGACTTTGAACAAACAGATGTAAAGTTACATGCATGGGTTACAGACTTCTTTCCATGCAAACAACTTTTTATCTTCTTTTAAAAACAGGTCATAATCTTATTGTTATACTTAAGAAATGGCTGGATATCACAGTCCTTATACTGTATCAGTTTGATTGAGTATTATTGTGTAGGTCCTTTTTATTTTACTGTTACTTTGGATGAGGTTTTCATGAGTCAGTCAAATTAATTTGTTTTCATATGCCATATTCATATGTATCACACACATAGGGGTTAGACACAAACCTATTGAACAAATGCAATGCAATGGATAAGCTTCATTTCCACTGAAGTCACAGATAACGTCATATCTAATATTTAAACAAATCATTTCCTTGTCACTAAAGCATTGACTACGCTATTCATCGTCCTTAAATGCAGGCATTAAGTTACATGTTCCGTTGTACAGCCACGATGAGGCTGTTTCTCAAGTGTGATGATAATACAATTAAAAGAGGCATTGGTAATAATTAGGGCCGGGACTCGATTAAAACAATTAATCTAATTAATTAGAGGCTTTGTAATTAATTAATCGAAATTAATCGCATTTTTAATCGCATATACATATTTGACCTAAGAACAGTGAGAAGCAATTTTTTTCACATGGATTTTAGTATACCATTAGGCGCATTCACACCGCAGTACTTTTCCCACAAAGGTTCATGAGAATTTAGTTCATGAGAACTCTTTGAACCTGGGGGTGGATTAGGCAAATGAAGCCGCTGACGTCACTTCTTCTTCTTCTGCTTTGGGTTTACTGGCTGGCCGCAAACAACTTCACGGCGTATACTGCCACCCGAAGTCCCCGGCCGGAAGTCCCCGGAGTTGGGGACTGGCTTCAGTAGAAGCTGCTGGGACTCCCAGCAGCCTTCCGAGTAAATCGCCAGAACGCCGACACCTCCTCATCTCCACCGCTCCCATGTTTTATTTTGTGTTGCCATAAGTTAGTCTCTCTGCGTTTCTGCGCTGGGCTAATGCTAATAATGCTAATGCGAGGATAATAAAATGGCGGCTTCACAAAACTTTTTGGGAGTTTTACGGGGCGTGGTTTGCAATCCGCCCAGCCAATCAGACATATAGCTCTTTTCTCACAAGAGAGCCGTACGAAAGTCCCTGCTCTCTAGCAGGGACTGCTCTCTAGCAGGGACTTTCGTGGGGGTAAAAAGGTTCTCATGAACTAATTTTAGTACCGGCTCTTTTGGTGTGAACGCGATAAAAGAGGCTAACGTCCACGCTAGCTGCTATATGTTTTGCATTGAGGTGATACTTGAGGCTTGATGTGCTGCGGTGATATGCGAATTCCTTTTTGCATAATTTGCACACAACCGTGCTCTTATCGACGCTTCAATCCGTCCGTTTTTTAAAACAACATTTCCCACTTGTTCACTGTGGTTTGTTGTTGTCTGAAGTCATAAACGTTAGTTGGTGCTCCAGTATAATCGGTACGCCTGAAACTCATCCAGTGAGAAACGTTCCGCGGTGCAAAAATAAGTGCGATTAAAATGCGTTAATTTTTTTAACGCGTTAATTTTTATGTAATTAATTAATCTTAATTAACGCGTTAAAGTCCCGGCCCTAGTAATAATATTAAAAACAACAATGTTTGGGTCGTTCGTCGGATAGGCGGTTAGCTGCAATAAATAACTCCAGTTCAACAAACCATATTACAATATCTAAGGGAGCGTTATGTCTGGACCATCTTGAAATGTGACGTTCATATTTTAAAGATACACATATTTCATTGTGAGGTTGATTTAATATACACTAAGCCTCTCTTCAACAATACGTTGACGTTAGCTAGTCTATTTTATGCTATAGTAGAGCATAGCGAATTTAAATGAACCTTAACAATGCATTCAGTAACCTAACTAGCAAACTAACTATCTAACGTACAAAGATGACCTTATTTTAGCAACCTCGCACAGAAGCCTTTTGGTATACAGTAGCATCCCACTTAATATTTTACACTCTTGGATGCTACGCATAGCATCGTTAGCACAGATGGAGCTACGATTGCTTAAATGCTACCCCAACTCTAAACATTCATTAACGTTAGCTTAATAAAAACACCAGTAACATAACATAAAGTACGCAGGGTTGAATTACCGAAGAAACTGCATTCATGGACGGTCTGTTTCAACCGCAGATAGATCCTATATTTGCAGGACGAATAGTCCACCAGGAGCCAACACAACAAACACGGCCGAGTTCAAGTAGTGTTCTCCTCATGCGCAGAGCCGCTGTAGCATCACGGAGCTAACGGAGAGGAGCTAGGAGAGAGGAGCTAGGAGCAGCAGCCCCGTTGTCATGAAGGGGGAATCTAACTATATACAGAATATGTTTTTGTAGATCCAGGCTAGAAACATGTTCATTTTCTGATGTTAAGTTGGACATTTTAACATAGGGTCTACGGGAATTGCTCCCATCTGCATCCATCGCCTATAGTTTGCAGCATTGGGCTTCACCGCACTGTCCCGGGGTTTGCCGCTTGTCTCTGATAGGCCAGAAGTCGGTTTGATTGCATTAGGGCTCGATTGCTTATCCTGTCTGAGTAGCCCGGATGAGGCTGCATCGCAATTTTTGACGTCGAATTTTACACACCGAATTTTTTTACATCGAATTTTAAACACCGAAATATTTGATGTCGAATTTTTTTCACTTGAATTTTTGGGATCTGAATTTGAACATTCGAATTTTTTTAACTTGAATTTTTACATTTTTATTTCACATAGATAAATTCGGAGCAAAACAAATTCAGATTCATGATTTTCAAAGTAATTATTTTCAATGCTATAAATTCGGTGTCTAATAAAATTCAAATACTTCTGTCTCTTGTTTGCTTCCATAGAAAATACACAACCGAAAAAAATCGGCCCCTTCCTTCAGAGTTCCTCACAGAGCCCCTCCTCCAACACACACGAACGCGCACATGACCAATGAGGGCACGAGATAAGTTTGTGCCCAGATGGAAGGCTGACAGGCAGGTAGGCCATCCAGTTACTTTAGCCGGCTCAGATGATTGGTCGTGCTTTTTACAGCGCCACGGCTTCCACAGATGACATTTAAGCATTTAATGCAGGGGTACTCAAATACAAATCTTAAAGGTCCAAAATAAATGTTTCAATAAGACAAAGGTCCGTTTATTACGGTCATTCAAACTTTTAAACAATTGCAACAAGATTCTTAACACGAGGTTGCAAAAACAAAAATAATCTGTATGCAGCCGTTTTCATTGTTATTGTGTCTGTGCTTGACCCCTCAGAGTCGCAGTGTAAGAGCTGCACAGTTATGAATAAAGGCAGCTGCACCCTCTTTCATTCAGCATTCCCATTATTGCTTTATAAATGTATTCCCCCTTGTGTGTCCACTGAGGTTCGTCAGGCCCAACACATCTTCAACAAACTCCCCCTTTGCCTCATCATAAAAACCCACAAACACCAGCAACTGAGCATTGTCAGTGGTGTCAGTGGACTCACCCACAGCTAAGGAAATGCACTGTGCATTTTTTATTCCATCACAAAGCTGATGAATCAAATCACCAGCCAGTATTTATGTTCTTCTGGTTGCTGTGCAATCTGAGAGGGGATTTGCTTGATTTGACCTGTTATATCCTCTTTTTGTTTGCCTTCAACATGGTCTCCATCACTTCAGTCATGCATTCTTTTATACTCAGTTATTATCCAGTGGAAAGTCCTTACCTACTGGCCTAGTTCAATCAAAGTGGTTACTTTTTTTTGGCTGGGCAGTGTAGTTTTACACACCGTCTGATTTGACTTTCTCAGGACTTAAAACTGTTTTTTGGGGGCAGACCCCCTCAAAGAAAAAAAGATATTTACACACGTAAGGTCATCATCTTAATAGTTGTGTATGCTCATCCGTGAGCAGAGCATCAAGTTGGCATGTCTATTACAGCTGAATGCGGCGATTACCATTTTGTTCAGAAAAACGCCTCACAAACGTATTAAGATCAACAGCTTTAGTGCGTTTTGATTCAATGCTGAGTACAGCCACACTGACAGTCTCTTCTCTGTCAGACCGCAAATACCTCATTCCTTCAGCGCTTGGGTCCGAATGCTTCTCGTTTTGCGCCGTCCAGTTCAAAATGAAATCGCCGCCAATCATATGTCCACGCTCGCGCCAGGACCGGGGGAGGGGTTACATGACGTGCATCTTGTGCTGCATTCATTTGCACTCGGACATTAGAGACTTTCTCTCATAAATGTCCGATGAGCCACAACTTTTCTTTCAAAACAAAGCTGCCAACTGGGGTGGCAGCTGGGGTGGCAAGGCCTATTTTTAGGGTGTCAGTTGCCACCCCAGTAGGTGAAACTAGGCTACTAGCTACAGTACAGATGGAACTAGATGAGCTGTTAACTCTCGCTCTGAATTTTTTTTTTTAAATTCTCGCTCTGACAGGTTGAAAGAGACACACACATTTTTCCCACCCGCAGTCCGCGAAGACCCGCCCTACTGTGCCTCTGATTCGCAGATTGTTTGGGGGGAAAAAACGCTGACTGGATGCTGAATGTGATTGGACCAAAGCGTTGACACACACAGGTGGAACACAGTGGAACAGTCAGACATGCAGAGCGCTGTTTGCAGTGGACATAGCGGAGCATTTTGACTCGTTGCGAATGCGTTGTGGCGATGTCTCACATATAATACAGAGAGATAATACATATGAAAAGTATAATTTGCTCAGAGTCCGGAGACAGTGGTGGTTCGGTCCGGATCCGGACCGGAGTCCGTAGTTTGAGGATGCCTGATTTAATGTATTCATTGCTATCGGGATGTTAAGAGCGTTCCATGGAATATAACAAAAAGTGTTTCTGAAGTGAATTACCTACCATACCTTTAAATATCAGCTAAAAGAGCAGTGAAATGAAAGACCTCTGAATTTTCTGTAAAGATATTAACAGTACTTAATGTCAGCTTAGTAAACAAAAAAACTAACAGACTAATTTCCACCACTCATGGACCACACCCACCTTTTCTTGTGAAAAACTGGGTGACATACTGTCGCCCTTTAGTCCCTCTCTCTTGTCTTTCTCTCCTTTTCTTAGAGCCTGACTTTGTTGGTCGTTGAAACATGGTACAACACAGTATGTAGGCTAGCATCCCTCCTCACATGCTTTCACTCTCTGCAAGTGCCGGTGTTACCAGTGCCACACCACGTTTGGAGGCAGGACCAAACCATTACATGTAAATAGAAGGGGGTGTACAGAGGCTTTGGGTAATTAACTTTTGGAAGAAAATAAATTAAATGAATCGTAAGTTTAGTGAGTAATTTATCAATATAACGTTCTATTAATGTTAATTATTGAGGATTGATGAAAGGTTACTTACATTTTTTTTCTTAATGTTCTAAACATTTTGGGGCCCCTGTCAGTCACGTACCCTTAGAATCGTCCTAACTTTTCACCCCCTTACGGCGCCCCTGGTTGCAACACAAGGGTTAAAGATGTATTTTGCAGGAAATGATTGTAATGCATTACTATTTTTAGTGTTGAAGCTACTTTGTATTTGTTATGATGCTGCAGTGGAGTTGTATAATGTGAATGTGACTCCTGACAGTTTCTAAGAGAGAATCAAAACAACTCCATCAAACCAAACACGTTGCACAGCTCCAGTATGCCATGCTTTACCCCTCACATGTTTTCTGCTGAGTGTCCTTCATCAGGGTGGGAGCTTCTTTGTTTACAGCAGGTTCATCCGTCACATGACTTCACACAAGCAAACAGATTTCATGAGTTTGGCATCTATGAATGTAAAGGTTAAAACAGATGTATGAAGAGATGCAATGCAACAAATAAAAAGAGATTAGATCATTACGATATTCAGATTATTTATTTTGTATTTTAAAGGTTTGTTGAACAATTGTCTTTCATCATTTATAGTCTCTGTAATTTGTCACATGGCTTTTTGACAGATGTACCAAAGAAACAGAAATCAACCTCAGAGACATTTCTGAATTAAACAGCTGGTTATTTAATCACAAGATATCTGAAGCAGCTTTACAAATACTACACTTAATTATACACAGCTGTTATTCCCTCTAGGTTGATTAGAAATTGATATTTTTAATTACCATAAATGTTATTGTCCATCTATAGAGGACTGAAAATGTCACGAAAGAACATTGTAAGAATGAAATAATGAATTCAAATAAATGTATTAAATGACTTGCTCCCTGCAGTAAAACAACATATCTCAAAATAATTCATCACAAGACCCAAAGATATAAAAAAGTTAAACTGATAACGTATACTGCTATAACGTGATGTTTGACTCGAAACTAGATCAAAGGAGAACTGACAGCTTTGATTCTTAGTTTGGTTGATGTCATGAAGTTTCAGCACGATATACAGACTTCTTACATTTCTTCAAGAATTCACACAAAACTTAATCAAACATTCTCATTTCATCCATTACAAAGAAAAACAGAAAATAAATTCATCCATTTAAAGATTCTTGGATTAAAAATGTGAACATTCATCGATCATTAAATGAGTCAAATGAAAACTATAAACACACTGTAATAAAGTTTGATGCAAAATAAACTCAATAAACAATCAAGTTGTTTGTTTGTCTTTGACTGACTCTTTGATTATAATGCGTAAAAATGTCATGCAAAGATTAATATCTCATCATCTGTTGATTATGTTCTTGAATGTTCCAAAGAGATGTAGACGGAGAGTGAAGTCAGAATAAAGTCTGAACCAACACTCCTGAGCATCACAGAGGAATCTCACTCACAGATTTTGATATCAGCAGTTTTAGCATCACCAGCTTTTCCAATACTGAAATATGGGAAGAGTTTCTCAGTGAAAGTGTCTCTGAGAGTGCAGATGGGAGTCATGTGTTCAGGGTCGTAGAAGCACACCTCCCCCCTGTCATAGTCCAGCTGGACTCTGATCCTCTGGGGATTCTTCTCCACTCTGACAGTCTCACCAGCACCATTAGTGTATCTTCCACTGCTATGTGCTAAACACCAGATTCCATCTTCTGGTGAGACACCTGGTATCTCTCCCTTCCTGTCAACTGACTCTTTAGTCAAACCTATATTCCAGGCAGGATGATCTCCCACCTCCACCTCCCAGCTGTGTTTCCCTGAGCTGAAGCCCTCAGAGCCCAGAACACTAGCATAGTGAGTGCATCTCTCTGGATTATCAGGAAGCTGCTGATATGTGTCTCCACATCTCACACTGGTCAGATCATCAGACAGAGAGAGCCGGTTGTGTGCAGTGTTTGGGTCCAGAAGGACAGGACTGAAGTGGACCTGGTCCTTCATCTTCTCCCAGACTCTGAAGGACAGGTTGCCCAGGTGTTTGGCCACATCTGTCAGCGCTCCTGAGAGCAGCTGTGGGTCTGACAGTGAGCTCTGGACTCTGGCTCTGCTCTGAGTGGCTTTATAACTGCTGAGGAAGGGCACGTTGAGTTTCTGCAGCTCTTCTTCAACAGCAGAGATACTGTGTGACAGAGAGGAGATGTGCTCCTGAATGCTCTTCATCTCTCTGCTGATAGTCTTCCCTTTCTGCTCCTCTTCCTCCCTCAGAGCTGCCAGTCTGGACTCCTCTTCCTCTTTCAGGAACTGATGGAGCTTGATGAACTCTGCTCTGATCTGCCTCTCTGTGGACAGCAGCTGCTTCTCGGACACTTGAATCACTTCCTTGTATGTTGTCTCCACTCCTTTGTATTTGTCCCTCTTGTCCTGCAGAGACTCTAAGTCAGATGTCAGCAGGTCCTTCAGCTCACTGACTGCTTGTTCTACAGGAACCCACCTTGTGACCCTGGTGGAGAGAAAAGTCACAGACAGGACACACAGCTCTCTCTTCATCCATACAGAACAATCTAGGCTCTTCTGGATGTTTACTACACACCACCTCCACCTTCTTCTCTCCTTTCTCTGTCTCAGATGATCCAGCTTTCTGTCTCTCAGCAAAGGAGTCAGACAGTTCCTTCAGTGCAAAGTTCACCACAGGATCTTTGTAGGACTTTCTTTTACAAATGGGACAGTTGTTGTTCTTACTTTGTTCCCAGAATGTCTGCAGGCAGCTCGAACAGAAGCTGTGGTTACAGCCCAGAGACACAGGATCTCTGAAAGTCTCTGAACACACATGGCAGCTCAGGAAACTTTCAACAAGAGCGGTTTTCTCAGCCATTTGGTATTAAAGTTATTTCTAGAGCAGGACTCACCAACTTATTTTCTTTATTCTCTCCAAGTGTGTGTTTCCCAGCAGAGATCTCACCTCCTCTGATGGCGTCTTCAACAATCTCTAAATCTTCTTTGGTGTCCTCCTTTACACAGTCTCTGGTTTTCTCTCACCTCCGTCACAGGATGAATGATCAACAGCAGGAATGCAGTAATGTCATGTATTCACCAGCAGATGGAGTCAGGATGTCTTTCAGAGGGAAATGCTCTTTGGTTTCAGTTCAGGACGATGACTTTGTCCAGGTATCTGTTGAAGACAAACACAAGAGGTTAAATACATTCTTTTTCTTTTAAAGCTCATCTTTCTTGGTGTTTTATATTGTCAAAATCTAAAAGCTCATCAAATGCATTCAAGAAGGAAATGGTTGTTGTATTTGAGTCGAAGTAGGGTGGAACATATCAACAGGCTGTTCAGTCAAACCAGTTTGACATCATTTTCTTTCAACCGCTGTCACGTGAGTTTCCTTCAACTTTTATCCTGCCTCACGTCTTCATGTTCCTCCCTTCCCCCAAAGATTATTCACTTACAAAACTCACTTATGCATGCACAACTTTTCAACTACATTGTAGGATTTGATACATTTTTAACATTTAAGAATACCAAGTAAGGAACAGTACATGGCGTGGCACCAGGCATCACATATTCATATAGAGAGGCGAAGTCCCGCCCATCTGCTTCCGCCCCATGGGACCTTATTTCAGAAAAGTATGTATTGAAGTCAATGGAGAGAGAAAGATTATCTTTCGATCCCGTTTGAATTGTGCCACGAATTACACATATGATGTTTGTCAATCTTAACAAATAATTTCCGTGTCAAAAAAGTCTCAGTTTGTCGTAAAACTGTTGAAATATAAGACTATGAAAAATACGCAACTAGAAAGACTACAAATCCCAGAGTCCCGGTCCCGCATGCTGGCTCTTAGGAACCCACTAACTCCCCTTGTGTGTGTGCACAGCTCTCAACGTGCCCAGACTTGGAGTGATTTTCACCTCTTTTAATACTTTCCGCCTCATTCTGAGAGAAAGGAGTGAAATGTTTCAACGTGACGGCCGTCTTGGTGTGTGGTGCGAGACGGGAGATGTAGTTCATTAAGCTGTTTCACACAAAGTGTTACTTCACAGTTTTACGACACATTTTTATTTTTTAACTTGCAAAATTATCTTTTAAATTGACAAACATCATATGTGTGATCATATGTGTTTGTGAATGTTATTCCCGCCACCTGTGTCAGAAAACATAGGTTTGGAATTGATGTGAATTAATTTGGTGAATGAAAGTTTGAATGTACTTTTTATTATCACCGGTCTTTTATGAGGAAATGCCTCTAAATTCTATCAGGAGATTTAAAAATCACAACTGAATTGGGCAGTTGAAATTACAATTTAATGTAATGAATGTAAAACTGTGAATTAAGTTTCATATTAGAACATGATCACAGCATGATAGGTTTAGTATGATTATAATGTTGTAAAGAGAGAGAAGGTAAAAACCCTGTATTAGTTTGGACCTATTTTTCTTCAAATAAACTGATCCCACATTTTGGACTGGGATAACTTAAAAGACATCTGCGCCCTCCTCTCCTGCTTCAAAGGGAAGATTGCACCCTGCCACACTCACACTTAGGTAGGGCCACATCTCCTTTACTGATATCAAAATCCTTCGGGATCGCTTCAACAGATTTAAGAGAGTTGTCTGAATTGAAACAGCAGTTAATTGAACCTGGTTCTTCAGGAGTTAATAGAGGTGAGAGCTTGTTGGTGGATCTGAGCCAAGCAGTAAACTTACATACACTCAATAACTTCTGTCAGGTTAATTAGTAGGTCTGAGTAATTTGCCGGAATAAATTATCAGCTCCACCAAACTCTTACAACTGATAAATGATTAGAAATAAAAAAACTCTCATTGTTATATCTTCA